GCGATAAAAATAGTAGAAGAACAATTTCCTTTCCTGTCTTATCGAAATTCTAATAATGGCTTCGATATTTTTGATAGAACTCTGCCTACAACATGTTCGATCTGTGAAAAAGAACATACGAGAGAAGGTATGTATGGCAGATGGCGTGGATCATATTATTTTCTGTATTGTTTTAGGCAAAAAAAGGGCGAATCCGGTATTGAGGTTGTTAGATCAGATCATAATAAGAAAAAAGTTATTCCTCGTTTAGATAGATTAAGAGCTCGGCTTCAGCATAGATCACAGTCTCATTCACAAAATAACTTTACTGCTGTTGGAAAGAACATCGAAATATATAATGCTAAAACAATGCGTAGCTATAATTTACAAGCTAAACTTGCAAGTGGTAGCCGACACTTGATGCTTATTAAAGGACATTGTGGTATTGGCAAATCAAATGAGACAGCAGAAGAAATAAGAACACTTTGTCATTCTGATGGATCTTCTGTTTCAACTCTCATCATATCTGGTCGGCGTAGTCTAGCCCACGGTCAAAAAGTTCTTTTCGAAGGGTTTAAGTCTTATCTCGATCTAGATATACGGAATCTCAACCCCAAGGATACACCGAAACTTATCATCAGCCCCGAAAGCATTCATAAACTCGGAGCGACCGGCTATGATGTGATTATACTGGATGAATTTGAAACAATTACTCAGAATTTTAGTGGACCGACTATGAAAAAACCGAAGTTAAGTCATGACGTGTATAAATCGTTACTCCAATCCGCTTCACTAATATTGGCTTTAGATGCTACATTAGATTCGGATTCGCTTGTACATTTACAGAATCTCTCGAAAGTAGATTCCGATAATTCAACCGTGATATGGAATAAGCATATAAGAGATAAACGTAAAGCTATCATACATATTAATACTAAAAAGTGGAATGCCGAGTTGATTGGCGCTCTCAGACAAGGCTTTACGCTTTACATCCCAATGTTTGCCAGTGCGGAGATGGCAGAAGCTCTTCATCGGGAATTGGCATCTCACGGCTATAAAGGTAAGTGTTTTTCTAAACGACTTTCAGAAACTGAGAAAAAAGAAATATTTGCCGATATCAATATGGCAGTGGCAAATCTTGACTATTTGATAGCGACTCCTGTGATGACTTGTGGAGTAAGTATCACAATCGAAAACTTTGATATGACATTTGCACATTTTCGCACTTTAGCTGGTCTAACGAGTAATGAAGCATATCAGATGTTGCACCGCGTTCGAAAGTTAAATCAAAATGTAGTACACGTTCTAACAGATTTACGTGCCGATAATCTGCCAACAGACCGTGAAGACTTGCTACACTTTATCAGTTATCGATGCAATGTTGCAGAATATCCCGATTTGGAAGAGGCTCACTGTGATAAAGACACTTACTCCTGATGGCAAGTGGATCTATAAGCCAAACGCATCTTTAGAAACTCATCTCTATAATGCATCTCGCCGCAATGCATCTAGAAACGATTTTGTAAGTTTATTAACTGACCGTCTGAGTGAATGCGGTTATGACATTAACATTGCTGAAGATTGCCCTTCTATAGACTCAACGGTTACAGAAGACGATGAGGGTAAGAAGTTGCTAACAAATGTATGCGCAATTAAAAAGGATTTAGATATGGAAAAATGTTCATTAATCGCTAATGCTCGAGCCTTGGGTGAAATAGAAGCTTTAGCTATCCGAGAGCGCTTAGAAAGAGAGGAGGATATAGATCCAGCATATAGGCTTGCGTTGCAAAAATATAATCTTGCTTCCCTTTATAAGAAGACCCCGGAAGATATAACGGTAGATTTTGTAGAGACTTATTCTAAAAAGGAAATGCGAACTGCGTATAGCGCGCTGGTTCAGGCTATGGATTCCTTGGATAACTTGCGTAATAAACATAGACTCATAATTGAGAATGATTCACGAGAAAAAGCTTCTTGCGATTCGTTATTGCCAAAAGTTATTGCGTTAGAGGAAATTTTGCGAGGCATAGGTTTTCCTTCGGGCATTCACACATCTTCTGCTCTATCTCGTAAAGACTTTGATGCTAGCTTATCAAGCTTTTTACCAATTTATAAGAAAAATGAACATCGTTATTATGCAGTATTTGGAAAGAAATGGAGACCGCATTCTAATTATAATCTAAAATATTTCACAGAATTTCTTGAAAAACCGCTAAAGGAATTCAAGATATCACTTGATCGAAAAAAAGACCGTAATAAACAACCTACGCACTTGAGACTTGAGATAGATGGACATCTAAAAAAGGTTCTTTCCGGTGCCTGTTCAACGACTGTGAATCCGTCAAAACCAAATCACAATCTTACAGCTGAGAAAAAAATACCTGAGCCCGCAATTTCTTTATCTTCGGAATTTCTTATTAAAAATGAATCCGATATAGATATGCTTTTCCATCTTTTACAGCAAAAACACGAAATGTCGCAAGAAAAATTAGAACAATGGAAGGCCGATATTGTCTTTGAATTTCGGGATAATACAAATTACTGGAAAAAGGAACGCGAGAGTATGGACAAAGATGATTTTCTAAAATATAAGCGGAAATATGAAGCCCGCCTTGGTATTCCTACTACTCCACGCAAAAAAGAGTTAAGCAAACTTTCTTTAGCACTTATCGAATATGTGTAGTTATGTTCTTAATCTGAAGAAATGTACAGCTGTACACTCTTGCGTATAAACTAGTCAAGTAAGAAATTGCTATATTTAGCTAGTCACGTATCTCGGGTAAGGGATTTTTGTCATCACTTACAATAAGAATAAGAAAAAATCAAATCAAAAATAAATCTTAATACCTGGACCATACGTTAACACGCGGTCTCGTGTCAGGCTGTGGTACCACTGCAGAGCGCCCTGCTTCGCAGTAAAATTTCAGGACAGCAATCTACACGGGTACAGACACGTAGTGTTTGCAAAGCAAATTTGCCACTCTACTTACGAAAGAAATGATACCAGAAGTTGAAAACGCATCACGCATACTTTCAGGACAGCAATCCGCAAAAATTTATCGATATCTAAAAATTGATTTAATCCGTCTAAAAACGTTAAAAACGTGCGGATTGCTGTCCCATTTTTTTTTTTCAAAAAGCGATTAAATCCACCAAAACGCATTTTTTTTTTTTCAAAAAGCGATTAAATCCAGCCAAAACGTTAAAAACCGTGCGGATTGCTGTCCCATCCACATTAAGAATTTTTATTATTATACTATCTATCAAATCTTTTCCCTTTCATAACATAAAACGGGAAACATGTATTTATTATAATAGCAATTACAACAAAATTGAATAGGCAAATAACAATGCGAACGCAATCATATCGTCCTCGAATGACAATGCACATGCAAACTCATAATCACTTCGTAGCAGCAGACTTTTTCAACTAACACCTCAGCTGACTTCCTCGATGGTT